AATGTTTGACATATTGAGTTATAATGAAATACTTTTTAAAACTTCAATTAGGTTCTATGCTAGCTATTAGGCCCCAGTAGCTAACATTATATATCTTTTATCTAAATTAAATTTCTTCCCCAAATTTTAATGAAATTAATTTGTATTATTTTTTTCCTGACATACGCATGCACCCAATTTAATGGTCATACCTATCTATGATAGGTATGTTTTTATATTCTGCCATGCAGACAGGTGGATAATTTGCCCACAATAAGTAAGTAGTATGGTAAGATTTGAAAGAAAGAAAAGAATCTAACTCCAAAGTCTCTTTTCTATTGTAATGGCATTGGTTGCAGTGCAATTGAATCATTAAGAACAATAAATCCTAAAGAAACAAAGTGAAGTGCTTGCCTCCATTTACTACAGTTTGATATATGAACACAAAGCTGTGAGTTTGGAATCTCAGAATAGCCATCTTTGCATTGTTTTACATGACTTACAAAAAATTAGAAGGCTAATTTGGGACTCCTCTTTTTACTAAATACTTAAATGTATAACCAAACTATGTTTCTTTGTATATGTCTAAAGTGGTTTCTCAATAAATGACTCTATCAGTAAGTATTCACATGCCTACTGTCTTACTTATCTAGTGCTGCTATAACAGAAATACCACAAGTGGATGACTTTAACAAAGAGAAATTTATTTCCTCACAATAAAGTAGGCTAAAAGTCCCAATTTAGGGCATCAATTCCAGGGGAAGGCTTTCTCTGTCGGCTCTGGAGGGAGGTCTTTGTCATCAGTCTTCCCTTGGTATGGGAGCATCTCAGCGCAGGAACCTCAGGTCCAAAGGACACGCTCTGCTCCTGACACTGCTTTCTTGGTGATCTGAGGTTCCCATGTCTCTCTGCTTGCTTCTTTCTTTTCTATCTCAAAAGAAATTTGCTTAAGACACTACCTAATCTTGTACACCTCATCAATATAGCTGCCGCTAATCCATCTTATTACTTCAGAGTGATAGCATTTACAACACATAGGGAAATCACATCACATGATAAAATGGTAGACAATTATACAGTACTGGGAATCATGACCTAGCCAAGTTGACAGACATTTTTGGGGGACACAATTCAATCCATGACACCTATTGTGTTCCAGTTATTGGACTATATTTTGTAGGAGATAAGTTGGAATTGACTCAATGGCAATTAACAACAACAACAAAGAATCAGAAGAAATTATAACTGTTATATAGAGGTTTATATTATGGATGCAAGAACAAAAATAACATATATTTAAGAGAAATACATATAAGTAAGTATTAAGTTATGTTATGTTGTTCATTCATTAAGTGTTACTGCAGGCTGGTGAAAGGAAGATATCCACTATAATGAATGTAAAGTTCTAGTTAAGAGTAAGTTCTAGAATGAAGAAAGCGTTGGATAAGTCATACTGCGAAAAGTCAATATGCATAGGTTTTAAAAATTTAGAAGACATGAAAATTTCAGGTATTTTTTAAAGAGCTATATATATCATCTTTATCAAAGCATGGAAGAGTAAGTTTGTCTTAATGAATTGAGAAAAATAGGCTGGCAAGACCTCCTGGGAGCCAGTACTAATGTGTGCTGTAAGATAAGGTTGTGCATAATTTTGTGCAAGTAAAATGTTTGTAGATTGGTCACTTTCTAAAACTACTAATAAATTGTGCTATAAAATAGCCCAACGTCTCAGACCATCCATCTACCACTCATCATCTCATAATTAGAACAGATTTTGTTTCCCTTTAGTAATCCAAAATGAATAATGGATTAATGATTTTAGATGTCTTTCTTGCTTACAGCCAGAAGTGACTTCTATCAACCAAAGTATAGATTTGAGAGATGCGACAAAGTGAAAGGAATATGTAAAACATTTTGTGATGATGTTGAGTATGATTATGGATACTGCATTAAATGGAGAAATCAGTGCTGCATATAAACCCTGGAAAATAGAAGTACTCTGAGCATCAAAATCTGAAATAACGATGCATCTTAATGACACAAGAATAGGTTAAAAAAAAAAAAGTTTAGTGGAAATCTGCATTTTTAAATCCTGAAAACCACCTTTTTTCATAAATAAAAATATTTCTCAGTCTTCTTGCCTATTTATTAACTGCTCACCTTTTTATTTATGATGGATGAACATATTAATCCAGGAGAACATAATCAAATTATGCTTACAGTCTCATTATTGCCACTCTGCCACCCACACCTTTATAATATTTATCTGATTTACACTTCTTCCTCAATGAATATCTGTATGTACCTTATATCCAGCTTTACTATGAGGATCATAGTTATGTTGATAGACCCTTGTTTCCACATCATAATCTCTCTATATAACCTCCAATGTTTCTTCAAAAGAAAATGTGTATTTCTTCCCTTTTAAATGTGAGGCTCTCCAATGTTGACTTGCCCAGACCTTTTTTTTTTTTTTTTTTTTTTTGGTATGAATATAATCATCACAGTGCTTGACATGACACAAGTTTAATAGTGTTTTCTCTGTAGGGCAATTAAATATTTTTCATGATGTAGCAAAGGGATAAAGAACAATGTCTTAAAGAGAACTCCTTCAGCAGTGCAATCCTTTATTCGAATTAAATCCCACAAGGAAGCTCAGTAATAGCTCTTCATGTCCCAGCAGTGTAGGAGGACTGGTATCTGGCCAGCTTAATCCCCTACCCTAAAAGAATGTGTTATATGAGGAAATTTTTAATTTTGAGGGGAGGGGAGGAGAGGAACACTTGGAATCCCACAAGCTATGGAGAATCTTGTGTAGGGAAGCTCAGATAGCTGATGAATGAACCAAACCAACTCCTCAGAACTTCTGTCTCCGAGGTTTACCGGGAAATCTAACAGGGTTAGCTTTGTCCATGAGGGCAATGTTAGAGAAGTTTTTAGGAGTGCTTTCAGTTCTCAGAAACAGCTCCACCTACCACATAGCTGATATCGATATGGACAACTTGGGCAACGTCATGGTGAACCTATGTGCTTTCTGTGTGTCCCCTGGACATCCTGGGGACCATATTATCTGCCCTAGAGTTGCTCACTGAGGAAGAGTGGCTTTTGAGTTTCTACAAGTTGTGCTACTATGGCAGCCAGAGATGGGGAGATAAATTCAGTTTGAAATGAGATTATTGTTAGCGTGACAAACACTTACTCGCTTAAAATTGTTTTGGCTATTCTACCTGAGATATATAAGTTGTTTACGTAGATACCAATAGGTAGTATGATTCTATTTAATCAAGGCAAACAATGAATTTCTGAGCTGATTTGTCTAGAGAAAAATCACTTTCTTTTTTTTGGAAATGCGATCATCTTTCTCTGGCCCCTAGCACTTTAAACATAACATTATTTAACCAAGCATAGAAGTTTTCTTACTCTTAATAAGCCCCAGAAGGCAAGGATTCTCTGTTACCTCATTTCACAACACTTGACATGAGAAGAACTGTCTTTTAATTCTTTTCCACTAAGAATTCTCTACATCAAAGATTCTTCTTCTCTCATTATTTTTTTTTTAATTTATTCTGCTCTTCTTTAAGATCTGAATTCTACCAGGTTAACATAGACATTTTTGCAGGGATATTTATACTGCTGAACTGAAGAAGGAGTCACTTATTTCTTGATGAATGATAATACTCTAGGTATTAAAGAATCGCTACATTAATCCCATCACTTTCATCGAGCGACAATTACTAAATTCTGATCTTGCTGGCAAGGAGCCCTGGTGATGCAGTGGTTAGCACTTGGCTGCTAATAGAAAGGTCAGCAGTTCGAACCCACCAGCTGCTAAGATGGAGAACGGTGTGGCAGTCTGCTTTCATAAAGATTATAGCCTTGGAAACTCTACAGAGTACTTCTACCCTGTCCTATAGGGCAGCTATGAGTCAGAATTGACTCAACGGCAACAGGGGAATCTTGCTGGTGGCACTAACAATTAAGAGTTGGACAACTAGTGAAGAGCTTGGCGGTTTGAACCCACTCATAAACACATCAGAAGACAGGCCTTGTGATCAGCTTCCAAAAGTTCACAGCCTTGAAAACCCTACGGAGCAGTTCTAGTCTACATATATGGGGTCGTCATGAGTCGGAATTGACTTGATGGCAATTAACGACAACAACAATCTTGCTGGACAATGTATCATAGGGTGATAGCTTAAAGTTAGAGAAATATCTGTTTACTTCTTCCTTCTCTTTATCCTTATTGTCAGTGGACTAATTTCCATTAACAGGAATACTATCTTAGTATTATCTTTTGGGTACTACAGGAAGATCACGTCCATTTATGACCTTACTTTGAATATCACTTGTCACTACTCATTCCACTATAAGTGAAACTAACTCTGAAAATTGAATGTAATATAAGAGCTATTTTTAGTGAGATTTTTTTCCCTGCTAAGTAATATGTCTTCATATCGGTTATGTTATTAGATAAGCTTCTTCTGAATTAATGTTTTAAGTAATGTTTAACTGAACACAAATAAAAGTATTTAAGCAATGTTTTATATGAATTTGCTTGCTAGTAGCCCTGGTAATTCATACTCTCTGATGTGCCCCGATACACCATCAGTTCCTTGAAAAATCTCTGGCACTCAGTAGGTACTAAATAAATAACTGTTGGCTGAATGTTGCCCAGACATGTATTGATTTTCCTCCTATCAGTTGATCCTGAATTCTCTTTTTTTTTCTTTACCAGCAAGAACACATAAGTGATTCAAGTTCCTCACATTTGATTAAGCCCCACTTATTTATTTTTTAGTTTTAAATAGGTTAAAGATTTTTTATAAACAGTAATAATCTTTAGGCAAACTGTTTCATCAGTTTGGGTCTCACCTTCTTCACCTGCAACATGGGAGGATTGGATTAGATTATCTATGCATTCTCATATATTTAACTATCTTTAACTCTGTAATTTCTTTTTATGTTGCTATAGAGCCAAGGTCAGCAGACTGTAGCCTGTGGCCCAAATCCTGCACTCTGTTTCTGCATGGCTCTAAGTTAAGAATGATATTTACAGATGAACATTTGTAATAGGAAACAATAACTTGGAACCCCAATTCAGCAAAATATACCCCCAAAATTCCATTCTTCTAATTGGTAGATCATTTAAAATAAATAAATAAATAATCACACTCTTTATTATATATTGAATTTTGTCAATTAAAGTTGTGTGGGATTTTTTTTCCTCTCCTCTTATTTAAATACTTGCATACTATTCTAGATTTTGCCTCTTTGTTCACAAAGCTTGACATATTTGCCTTCTATGGAAAAAAACTACTGATCTCTGTGTAGAAAGAATCAACAAAGTTCCCAAGAGCAAAGTGTGCACCATGAAGAAGCAGCCTTAGATTACCTGAGAATTTATGAGAAACAAAAATTCTTGGGGCCCACTCCAGACTTACAGAATCAGAAACTGGCAGTGGAGCCCAGCAGTTTCTGTTTAACCTGCCCTCCAGATTACGATGGAAACAAAGCTTGCTAACCATTGCCTAGAAATACTAACCAATACCTAGAAATGAAATTTCAAAGCAAAATCACAGTATTTTAATGTTTTAGAGATCCCTTGACATTACTGATGAAACAGACTCAAATAAGAGAAGAAAGATGCAGAGTGCCATGTTTATTTCTTTGGAAATGGGATGGGTAATAAAAGAACAATATGAAAGGACATGTCCCTTCATAGAAACTCCTGAAAATTAGAGTTTAGTTCTTAAAATCATCAAATCAGAAATAATGAAATGCATCATTTTTTCATTTTGATGGTCAAACTACCATTTCCTATGGAAACACATAATTCACTGTTCAGGAGATTTTCAATTTAGAATGTTCCTTTCCTTTTCTTATTAAAAACACTGAGAATTAGAGAGAAATAGAAAACTGTCCTCAATTTTAAGAGTTCTCACTCTAGTAAGGGTTACAAACAAAAATCCAGTAATTACAATATAACACAGTGGGTAACCAATTAGTTTCGATCTGTAGACAGAACTTTCTGGATCTAGATCTAAATTCATTCTGTAATATTGAAAATTATGACAAATTATAGTATAAGATTTCAACCAAAAAGATTTAACACTTATTATCTTTATCCCTGTATGAATTTTTTTGTTCCTATTCTCTTTTACAACTTCCTAAACCTCTAGGCAATTTTTATTTTATTGATTATATAGGATTAAATCATCAATTCTTTTTTGAAAGTTGGAAGATCATTCCTCAATTAAATAATGAATCAGTACTTTGGCATCAATCAATGCTGTATATAATTTTGTATCTATTCTTTAGTGCTAGAAATGTATCTATGAATCTTAATTTTACATATATTCAGTTCAGGAATAAAAAAGAAAGAATAAGAAACTGAAGATTCTCTTTCCTCTAAGTGTAAAACAATGTTTAAAATATCACATATCATTCACCACATAAATTTTTGCTCGGTTTTGGTTTAATTGATGAAATTCAAATCTTATTGGGGGTTTCTTTTCTGTTAAAGAGGTAAGGTTCTTTTGACTAAAATTTACTTGAATCCAGTGACTTCAGTCATTTTTCATAGTGCTTTCATTTCTTAGATGTATTTATCATGCATATCTCCATTTAATTGAGAGAAAAGTGGTATAGAGAAAAAGAAATCTAGTAGAGAGCTGAACTTTCAAGCTAGAATTGTTCTTTATCTTTCACACATCACTCTAACAATCAATGATTTCTCTTTTGACTTTGTCTCTATTCTCTTTCTCTTTTCCTATAAATAAATTATGTAAAACATGAAGGAATTCAAGGGAAATCTGTAATGTGATGCAAAGGCAGGTAAATCTTTGCATATATGAAAAAGCATATGAGTATTGTTTTTGTTTTTTTAATTACTAGAATCTATTACCTCATGTAAAATGAGGGCAATGATTCCTTTCTACTCAAGGCAAGATAAATTCATTTTGCTGTTATTTTCATAAC